CCTTCGATGAGGACTGTTTCGTTTAAGTCTTACGGACTTTCGTACGGCCACAGCTAGAGTTCGCTAATCAGGCGTGGAAACCCTGGACCCCTAAATATCAGCATCCTAGAGAAAGTTCAATGGCGAGCAACCAAACTCGTAAGTGGACAGGGTTCAGTACCCTATGAAACACGACTGGCCAATCTCGGCCTTTTTCCACTGAGTTACAGACAGCTAAGAGGCGACCTTATGCAAACATTCCGTATAATGCGCGGCCAGGACTGCTGTCACGTACCTGCTGATTTCTTTGAATTAGCGACCACAACGAACCTCCGAGGCCATCCACTTAAATTACGTGTGACTGGCGCCAAGCTGGACATTCGAAGTTCTTCTTTTCAAACAGAGTGATCGAGGCTTGGAATGCTCGGCCTGCAGCTGTCGTCATGTCTGCCTCCGTCGAGGCTTTTAAGCGCAAGTTGGACCAGTGTACCACCAAACGTCATAATGCCACCCGTGTCTGTTGAATGTGTTTTGGCGTTTACTTCTTCTCCCTCAGAAACTGAGATAGCACCAACCATCCATAGACAGACTACTGTACAACACATTTAGTAACGCTAATGCTTTTAACTCTTGGAACAATTCGTCCATCTGTCTGGTTTCGAAAACTTTGCCAATCTGGAGAAACTATGTAGCTGTTTGATGTTTCCATTTTAAAATATTTGATATGGTTCGCTGACTCGTAAAAAATAGGGAGTGGAAAGGTTCAACGCCTATAATTCCCTCAAGTAAACTGAACTGAACATGTTCTATTAGTATGGTATCAATTTCCCCGGAAACATTAGGGATAATACTCCTAACGGTATGTCGCAACATCTGTAAATTGTAATGCTCTCATCGGTACTTGAGGCAAATGAGACTTTTGCGGATTCTGGGCCAGCGTCAGTATTTGCACTTTAACGGAGGTCGGCGCCTCACCGACGGCGGAATCGATTTTTAGGAGACATTATGCATTTAATCGATGCTGCCCAGATTTGAAAGCGAAGTCTCTGTCATTAACGCCGTCGACAATGTCGAGCTCGCCTGACTTCCTCACGGTATTCGTGTTTCGCTTTTTGGCCGACTATCTAGGACCTCCACATCTGCGAGATGCAGCCGAGGAGAGTCCACGCCCACAAGACAGTGCAGGCAAGTGCCACATTCATTCACTTCACCTCCTTAATACTGATGTATTATGTGTTCTTTGGGCGAATGGAGCCCAGTTAGGACCTGACATCCTATAGGGCCGTTTTACTTCCTTGCTTACAAACTTAGTGGCAAATACACAGAAGACCTTTCTAACTGGTGGCAGGGTTGTCAGTTAAATTTTAATTAGGCCGTCCTGTGCAACTGAGGGGGTAGCCAGCAGCCATCGACTTCCAAGGATGCTGATGTAGATGTTTCCGAAAATTGGTGGCAAAGATCTATTTAGTAGTCATTTTGTGAAGCTATGTGCTACCAACGCAACGCAGTTTAAGACCATGCAATGTTTCAAAGATGTAGTTGATGATAGGAAAACCGTTCTCTGTGTGCTAGTGTGTTTGAGAGAGAAGAGAAATAATTGAACTATCGGTTGGCATTAGGTGTTTTCTGCGGGACCAGAAGGATTAATTCTAGTTGCAGACATCGCAGGAAGTAGATTTAGAGAAGTGACTGCGTTGTTT